GATATAGTGGGTCTCCTCACAGCCTTCTCTTCTTCAGGCTGAACCAAACAAAAAAGGAATTCTTTAATGTAGATGGACTTCTTTAATTCTTTCATGTGGATGGACTCGGCTATGGAAATCTTACTGCCAGGTCCGAGAGCCGGTTGCTCCCGCTCCTCTCTGGGTGCCTGGCGGGGTGGTCGTTGCCCTGTGCTGGAGCCGTGGTACCTGGGGATGAGCGCCTGTCCTGGCCACATTCTTCTGTCCTGGTTTAGAAGGTCCTTGCAGCTACTTGCTGGTGCAGTAGTTAGAAATGGGAAGGCGCTGGGGAATGTTGCTCCATGTGCCTGGCTGCTTGTGCCTGTTCTCTGGGGCCGTGTTTCCGATCCTCTCATCAGAGAGCCTGCTTTTTCCGAATGAAAGCGATGGAGAGCTGTGAGGAACTGCAAAGGATCTTCGCAGCAGCGTCAGATGTGTCGAAGTAATGGCTCCAGCCGGCGTGAGCAAGCCCTGTGGTCTCGACACTGGAAAATACCTCGTCTGCTCTTCTGCTGTGGCAAGGCGGGAGCCTCTGGAAAGGACGCCGTGGAGGGAATAAAGAAATTTTCAAGTGACAAATCTTGGAGCTTTGTGACAGTCGGTGGGTTGGTTCGGGGTTTTTTTCTTATCTCTCAGTGAATTCTCCGAAGTTGCCACATCCTTCTTTAAAAAGAGAAGTTGGAGTCTCCTGAGGGAGATTCAAAGTAGCTTGGCTTGGCGTGGTGGCATGCTAGGGAGGGCACAGGTACTTTCCAGGAGCAGCTAATGACTGCAGATTCTCCTGGGGCGTGATGCCAGGCCGGAGGGGTTTTTCCACGGCAGAGGCACACGGATGGCTTCCCCGCCATTTCCAGGCTCTGCTCGGGAGATGGCCCCGCTGCCGAGCCGGAGTCTCGGGCTCAGAGCCGGAGCTGGCTGGGGGGATGTGCTTTCAACCAGCACGTAATCTGTGCCAAGCAGGGCGTTTCAGGAAAGCTGGATGACTCCCCTCATTCATTTGACTTGATTCCCTCTAGTTTTGACTGGGGAAAATGAAAAGAAAGAGCATTTAAGAAATGTTTAAACTTTTTGGACTTGCTAGCAAGGACACTTTCTTTCCTCGTTTGAAAATTAAGTTTATGTTTAAATACCAGTATGGTTTTCTTTAAAGAAAAATGAAGTTGCAATAATTTCAGCTTGTAATAATTGTAAACCAGAAGGAAACATTCTGTGTGAGTCAGAGGAAAACTTGGGGGTTTTAATTCTGGTTTATTCTTTCTCAACCTTTCCTTTTCTCCTATTTATTTCTTCCCACCAAAACCAATCTTTTTTCCCCCAGAGTGTTTGGGTCAGCCGGTACCCACAGACCTGCCCTGACTTCAGGCAACCTCTGTGGCTCAGCTGCTCTATGTCTAAAATCAGGAGAAATGATCCTGACCTACTTTGTGAAGTGCTCAGAGATCTGCAGAAGAGCCACATTTTGCAATTTTAAAACTGTGCCTTTGGACTTTATGGCTGTTTGGGGGTTCTCCTCCGGGTGTTTGGGGGTCTGCTTTGCCGTGGCTTAGGGTGGGTGCGTTGTCCTTGGCAGACGGCGGGCAGGCAGCGTCTGCTGATGGTGGCTGAGCCTCCTTCTCCGTTTGCTTTCCCATGGAACACCTTCTCTGTTACTTCATTTAATGGTACTTTTAAATCTGTATTTTAGTGCATATCTGTGAATATCTATCTCCTTTGTCCTGCTGTCTTTTAATTAACTGATCCCCACTGCTGTTTCTTACTATGCGTCTCTGATACTTTATTAATTAACACACTATGCAGTATACTGAGGAAGCTGGTATCTAAGATGCAACAAAAGATGAAAGTGTTCATCACCGAGAAACAAATAACGAAGGCAAAAATGTGTTTTCATCTGCCAGCAGTGACAAGCAGAGTGTCACTGGAGATGTGCTCCTTCCCCCACCCCGAGCCGTACAACTCTGCAGTGTGTGAACTGTGCTAAAGCTGAGTATCGCTGCGGTGTGGATGTATTTATCACTGTTACTGTGTTGATACGGTTTTTGCGGTGCTACCTGTGTATTTATGAGAAGTCCAGTTCACAACCATGTACTTTATCTTGAGGCCTCAATTGCTGGGGCTGCTCCGTCCCATTTGGTGATGGACATTTGAATGAGTGAGGATTTTCTTGAGTAATCTTTGCTTTGCCAATATCTCAACTCCTTTGCTGTTCCTCTTCCAGAGAAGTTGTCTCAGTGGAAGCGTTTTCCCTCAATATCCTTCAACCTGCAAAATTAAAAAGAATCTCAGCTCTTCACCGAGACAAAGTTTGTCTAACACATTGTCAACATCACTTGCCTTTCAGCCTGACGTTGTATTTTTTTAAATCAGTTCAAGCTTGTTCAGGCTGTTGTTTGATTGTTGGTGATTTTTTTTAATCCCTCTACTGACTGGTTTATTTGGGGTTTTTTGCCTTTCTGTGATACTGGTTTTGCCCATCTGTTTAATCCATGACCCTACCCAGGCATGCAGACTGTGTGTATCCCAGTGAGAGCTCCATGCAAAAAAATAATTGTATGAATCCTTCAGGAAGCTTGACACGAGGATTAGGGGCTCCAGGAGGGCAGCGATCCGATGGGAGAGTCGCTCTTCCTCCCAGGCTCCCTTTCCAGCCAGGTGTGTTTCCCATTTCCTTTCCTGTGCTCTCCTCTGACAGAGTCCTTTTCTTCTTTCTTGAACAGGTGGGCTCTGCATCGCTCAGTCCCTGAAGATCCCCCAGGATCGCAAGGACAAGACCATCGACTTTGATAAAATTATCAAGCAGCTCCTAGAAACTCCCAATGCCAGGGCCATCGTTATTTTTGCCAATGATGAGGACATCAAGTAAGGATGACTGAGGGAATTGATTCATTTGTGCTTGACAGCTATGCAGAAAAGAGAAAGCAAATAAGAATATGCGTAATGAAGTGGCAATGTCTGTTGGTAAGAGCAGTGTGGGGATGTGGAGTTGGCACTGCAGAGGGCAGCCCTGGGCACGGAGGTGCTGCTGTTGCTGCCCTGGCTAGCGTGGTGCCCCGGATCGTGCATCGCTGTAGTGGGGGGCCGGGAATGTTGAGCAAGGTCTGGAAGCTTTTCCTGGCATGGGGTTACTCAGGCGTTGGAAGGGCAGACCTGACCTTACCTCTGAAAGAGGTGTTAAGAAGATGCCCCTCTCGCCAAGCTCATGGTGCTATGTAGTATTCGTTAATTCAGAGTCAATTTTATGGCAAGTGATGGTTACTAGTGCTAAAATGGCTTGGATGCTCAAGGTTAAACCACATCAGGTGCTCAACATGTCACCTGCTCATAAAATAATATAAGGAATATATATCTCATTTCTCACTTGCCTGTGTTCCATATTCTCTCTCCAGAATTTCAGATTAGTTCACAATTGTGATGGCATTGTCAGTTGCTGAGAGGCTCAGGGAAACACAATAAGACACAAGGAAGTTAGGATAAAGTTTCAGTAAAGTCAATGGCAAAACTTAAAATTTAGTGGAATCAGGATTTCAGTCTTTGGATGCAGTGTGGATGAAGAGAGGTCCAGTCTGCGCTGTGTGGGTCGTGATACGGTGTGTTGTCAGATTCCTGAGCTCTGTTGGGTACAGGAATAGGCTATTTCTGGTCATTCTGCAGGTGCAACACGCCATTTTTCCCAAGCAATTACGAGTTTAAATGAAGTCAATTTGTGAACACAAAGTTCTTTTCCGCAGGCAGATCCTTGCGGCGGCGAAGAGGGCAGACCAAGTCGGCCATTTCCTCTGGGTGGGCTCGGACACGTGGGGCTCCAAGGTGAGCCCGCTGCTGCAGCAGGAGGACGTCGCCGAGGGAGCCATCACCATCCTCCCCAAGCGAGCCACCATAGAGGGTAAGAGCTCCCTTCTGCTTGGCTCTCTCTCCCGCTTCCTGAAACGCTGGTGGCACAAAAGGGATTGCCCATAAATTTTTCTCGTATGTGTTTTGTGAATAAATTTGTACAGACATGGTATGATTTAAAGAGGATAAAGTGCATTGAGTAAGTCTTCATCTCCTGAAATTTTCCTAAATGTCTGTGTTCCTCACCCAAGAACAATATATTATTTCCACAGTTGAGAAGCTCTCAGCAGTTATTTATTAAAGGCACAATTTCAGAGCTTATATTAAGCTGTGGTGATATGACACTGCCGTTATCACTTAAAAGAAAGTAAACCAAAATGATCTTAACATATCATGTGTATGCATAGGAAGAGAAAATCTTTTGCAATTTATGTATCATCCCTGAAGCAGTGGATAAGTTTTCTACTGAAGATGTGAAAATTCATTTTTAAGTCAGCAGTTTCCATTTAAACTTAGCTTCACTTTTATTTCGTTCAGATCAAGCACTATATTTATCTACACATATTGCTTGCGTGCTCCACAAATATATGTACTTGTACATATGCATGTGAATATAAAAATTGTGGGAAGCTTTTTGTACATAATCCCGTCGTTCCTCAACATTTCTTTGTGTTCTGACATCTGACCTTTCCTCAGTTTGTTATCCTTTTTGTCTGTAGAGATGCTTAACTGGCCAAATAGCTTCCTCTGGGCAAACCCAACTTGCCACTTAGAGCCCGTGTTCACTGTAATGTGAAGAGAAAGGTTCTTTACAAGGGAGGTGCTGAGTCAAGAGAACAAACTCCTGGGCTGGCACACAGCTTTGTGTGGGGCAGGGTCTCCAAAGAGTCCTTGAACACCTTGCCCAGATTAGAAGAGGTTCTGGTGTGTTCACTCATGGAAAACCAAATATTTGCATTCATTTTTACTGTGTCTACCACCTCATTAGTTATTCTTCTCAGGTATATAATATGCTTCATCCTTTTACATTTTTTAAACCCTAGAGGCGTTTTTGCATGTTATTTTTCTAGAAATACGTACAGTTGATAGACAATGAAGTGTTTTGTTTCTGAAAACCAGGATATTTTAATAATGTTTTCATACTGTGTTCGTCCCTGAGGGTTTCTGACACAGAAACGAAAAGTCTGCCAACAGTAAACAGAAATAAAAACTCTCCACGTTCGTTTATTTTAAAATATTTTCCTACTGTATTACACATTAAACACATTGGACATAAGGGGAAACATGAGGTTTGCGTTTGGACACGGTAAGAGACGATAGCAGAGCGCAAGGGTTCGGGTATAGAAAGCCGGTTAAATAGCAGGTACAAATATCAGCGTATTTAGAGTATCTGCAAAAATATATGTCCACTGAGCCCGCAAATATCTTCTTATGCAGTGAATATATCAGACCATTACCTAAAAGTTGGCTAGTTGCATTTTGCACTTGTAGGCACGTGGATGGCACGGCTGCTGGTCCGTGGTGCTTGAATTGCATTTTGCCTGTCCGTGTGATTGTGCTCGTTCTTCAGCAGTGGGTGCCCTACAGCAGATACCTGTTTTGAGGGCCGTGAGTTGCGTCTTACTTTCTGGAAAGGGAAAAATGCTCAGCCACGAGTAGGTACTGTGCTTGGTACAAAAGGAGAGGCAGAGTGAGGTGTCCCAGAACAGCAGCAGCACTGTTCTGGCGAGCGTTTCCCGGCTGCTCTGGGAAGGTGCAGCCTGGTTCGTACCTTTTGCAGTCCCGTTCATCCGTCCCTAATTGCCATCTGCACCTGCCATCTGCTTCATCCTGTTCGGAGGGAGAGTAAAGGGACGGTGAGGAACGCAGAGCAGATTCCCGTTCTCCCAAAGCAGTTTTCCAGAACTCCACATTTCCCCTTTCAGACCCATTCCGCTCCACATTTCCCCTTTCAGACCCATTCCTTTTCTGTTTCACCCACGAAGAGAGGCATCCAGTGAAATCTGGTACTTACAGAAATAAGTAATCCTTAGGTATTAGTGTTTCACTGCTTAGAGAGGCTGTTATCCGTACGGATTGCCTGCCTTTCTTGCATTTCGACTGCTGTGTGTTGTTTTGCTTTCCTTTCTGCTGTTGTAGTGATTTCCTTTGGCGATGAATTCAAGGGGACTGGAAAGAGACATTTGAATGTTGTTCTTTTATCATTCCAGCAATGAACATCTGCTTCCTAAAATGTAATAATGCTTTTCTTTTGATGAATACATAAAATAAATGAAATAAGAAACAGTGATTTTCCCTATAAATGGATGGAACCAAGCCGAATGAACAGAAGGGAGCTCAGCTGGCCCCGCGGGGCCGTGCCGTGAGCCGCGCCGCAGCCCAGCAGTCTCCGCGCTGTGCGGCGGGAGCAGAA